CTCCTCCTTCCCTTCCCGCTAAATAAAAAGAACATATCTGTTTATTACACGAGGAAGCCAAATTGGCTATTTCTGCATAATAGCACTGTCTTGTGTACCAGCCTGTGAGTTGCTATGCATCTGTAGTAAAAAGCAATTGCCCCAAGCAAAACTTAAATGGAAAATGACACCAGTTCCCTGCCCACTGCCCACTGGCTCCATTCAAACCATTACTTCCGAGTTCCCTGTACCCTGTACTGTACTTCCGGGTTCCCTGCCTACCAAAGGAAAAAGTCAAGCAATAAAAGAAGAGATGGATGAATGAGTGCAGATCTACACATTACATGAACTTTGGTGGGCATTCTCCCCCCCTTTGGTAAAATACAGCAACTGCAGTTCAACAAGAAAGAAGAATGTGGTGGTGGTGGTGGAGGGGAGATACCCCCCCCCGCCATTTCCCTTGTACTGTTACTGAATGGTTCTATTTCTAGGACATCAAATGCTAATAGGTTGGAACTCTAGAACTCTGAACAAGGGAGGAAATGTTTTATCAGTAATGTTCCATCTGAAGTCTGTTTTTGTGTGTGTGTGAAGTGCTGTCAAGTCCCAGCCTACTTAACAGCACACCAGCAAGGGGCTTTCAAGGTAAGTGAGAAGCAGAGATCGTTTGCCGTTGTCTTCCGGTGCAGTCTTCCTTGGTGGTCTCCCATCCAAGTACTAACCAGGGCTGACCCTGCTTAGCAGCCAAGATCTGAGAAGATCAGGCTGTACCATGCTGCCTTCCCTTCCATGAAGTCTGCATAGCGAGCTACAAATATTCCTGGAAATGATTGTTCACTGACATCAATTTGTTGGAATTAATCAGTTAATGGGTTGGATTCAGCCAGCTTTTTCAGTCATCTCACCTAATTCCTATCCTTACGACACTCCTGTTACACTTGTTCCCTTGATCACCAGCATAGCCTTTTTGGTGGTTAGAGGGGACCCTGAAAAAATCTGGTTGGATCCAACCCAATAGCCAGAATACTTTTAGAGAAACTGTAACACATACAAGAAAATGTCAAAAAACCAATTAATTTCTCCATTCTAGAAGTTTCCCAGGCTAACCAGGAAAAAAGAGGGCAGAAATGAGAATTAAATTGGGTAATTTGTTGAAAGAATAGTTGAACAATTGTGTCATTTTGCTTGTGTTGTTTGTTTTCCAACCTCCCTTTGCTATGGTATGTGACTGGCTATTTGACAAAAAGAACTTCGGAAATACCAGAATTTTCTGACATTTGTTACTGACCTCCTTAATTACCAGCAAACATTGACACTGAACTTCTGACATCTGCCATAATATATACCACCATACGAGTGCCTCACCCCAATAAAGTAAGAGTGAGCTATGAATCCATAACGGTATACATTTCTGTTACAAGGATAGCTACATTTTTGTCCATGCAGAACCTCAGTATTTGCCACTTGCTAGTTAATTGTTCTCTTAACTGGAAATGTTTAATCACAGTCTCCTAATACAATCAACCAGGCTCACAGTAAACCCACCCTGATAAATGAATTATCCAATCATCTTTTAAAAGTAACCTTCAAAATAGTAAGATTTAAAAGTTGAAACAATGGATTATATTTGCCTTTGAATAATTACCACCTTGCAAGAGGTCTTCATTCTCTCATAATCCATTTCTTGAAAATGTGGGCTACAACTCTACAAAAGGTTAAGATGCTTTTTCATGCCAAAGTGCCATGTACAATATCAATCTGTTTATGTTTGCCTCCTAATGCAAATGAAGACTTGAGTGCAGATAGATACATCACCAAATTTTCCATAACGGTAGCAGATCAAATCTAGTACATAGAAAAAGATGGGAAAAGCTTCCAGAATCATATGTCATTTACCAATTTCCCTCTGCTCCCTAAAACCATTTTCCCTCCATCACTTTCCTCACTAAGTAGGTTTTGTAATTGCTGGATATGATTCAATAATGTCCCTAGCTGTATTCCCCTCTATTATTTAGAATATTAATAGAATATTAAATAGAATTATTTATGCCATTCCCCAGTCAAAATTTACAATCAATAAGATTAGTACCAGCAGAGAGGCACAAACCCTTTGGCAAAGCAAGAAAAAGTGAAAATGAGGATATCGAAGGGGAAATTCAACAGCTGCTATAGGGGCGAATGAAAGCTTATTTATGCCGGCAGCAAAATTCTGAAGTCCGTAAGAGAAGGGGGAAAACAAGCAGAAGAACAAGGGAGAGGATGCTGAGTCCTTTTCCTTTGATGGGTTGATAGTGGTGGCCACTTCACAAAGAAGGCCAAGTACCTTTGGCTGAGATCAAGACACAATTCCGGAAGAGTGGGAGAGAACGTTGGAGTTTGGCTGGTACGATGTAACAGTTGGCCAACAATGATAAAAGCTTTCGCATATAGTTTACTTGATTAATTTTGTGAGTAAGGAAGTATATGAAAACTTCAAACTGGGTTAGCTATGGCATGTTTATATAATAATCACTTCTGGCTTTGAGACAATTTTATCAAGTCATCCCTCATGGTGTACCACATTTTGAAGATACGATTGCAACCACATTCCATGAAATGCAGAAATCCTGTTAGATTTTACTTTCAGGCCAACTCTTAGCTTTAGAAGGAGTGTTTATCATTTACAAAGCATCACAAATATGTTGGTGATGTTCAAGTCATGCTTGATTCCATATCGCTAACATTTAATTGGTGAAAATGAAATTCTAAAGCTACAATAAGTGCCCCCTCATTGATTTCAGTCCAACAGCTTATCAAGAACCGTGCTGTGCCATAAAGGAAGCACACATTTTGCTGAAGTTTTCCTCCATACTAAATCATGTGCATTTAGTTTTTTTTCCTGCAAGCCACTGATGTTATCCAAAGGATATAATCACTGCAGAATATCTTTTCTGGTGTTTCACAGTGGGTCATAGAGAATACACACATAGCTCAGAACATGGAAAACCATTACATGAAAAATCATCCTCTCCAGTTTTTAAGACAGAAGAATACAGGCATCAGGAAGTCACTTTCCAGAAATCCAGGAAGTACGCTTTGTCAGTATTAGTCCTGTGTATACAGAACTCTTAATCTTATGCAGAACAAAGCTCTGTTGTTGCTGAAGAATACAATATGGTACAAGAATATAAAATGAGACCTGCTGGATTAGACCATTGGACCATCTAGCCCAGCAGCTTGTCTCACACACTGGACAAACAGTTCCTCTGGAGGTCCAACATGGAGGTTCCCTTCAGACACCATGGCTGGTAGCTGCTGATAAACCTATCTTCCATGAATGTGTCTAATTCCCTTTTAACACCTTCTATGCCTGTGGCCATCACTACATCCTCTGACAGCAAATTCCACATTTTTATCATTCATTTTGTAAAGAAGTATTTTCTTTCTTGTCACAGACAGATGAACCATGTTTGCTGGTCTTTTGGCCTCCTCCAAAAGTCATCAGAAGTTTCACCAGCCCCCAAATTCACTTAAATTTTGCATTAATTAAAATCTGGTTAACAGCCTAGATATATTCAGAGCCCTCTCCCATCTCAAGAAAAGTTGCTAGTCAAATTAAAGCTCTTTGGGGAAATTTATCAGGTGTTTGATCTCGGATCCCCAAAACCCCTTCAAATTTTACTACGGGTGAAGTTTTGATGGCAACTCATCAGAGGCAGGATGGATGATGCTTGTCTCTCCTCCTGCTACAGCTTTTGGGAGGACAATTTCTTTAAAAAGTTTACATTTGTGTGTTGCTGTTATTAGATCATTTTTCTCCCTCCAGCCGCAGCAGTGGTGGTAGGAAACGGATGCTGGGGGCAGGGAAGCCCCTGCACCTGGAAGGAGCTTGGAAGCTTTCTTTTTAACTGTTTGTTGAGAGTTCTCTGGGCAGGCCCACACTATAAGTGTGCAGGCGAACTACGGAGAGAAGACAGAGAGAAGATTCTAAAGCTTTCTAGAACTTTCCAAAGATCTAGGGGGTGCTTGACGTGGCTGGTCACGTAACGGAAATTTCCAGCCAAAACTGTCATATAACAACATTACTCTGTAATTGCATAGTTAGATTTAAGTTAAGTGGACATTCCATACATAACTACAGAGCCAGTGTAGTGTAGTGTAGTGTAGTGTAGTGTAGTGTAGTGTAGTGTAGTGAGGTGTAGTGTAGTGTAGTGTAGTGTAGTGTAGTGTAGTAGTTAGGGTCTTGTGCTAGGACAGAAAAGACCCTAGTTTAATCCTCCCCTCAAATATGAAATTCACTGGGTGACATTAAATGAGTCACTCTCTCTTAGTTTATTTTACCTCACAGGGGTTTTGTGAGAGTAAAATGGAGGAGGGAACAACCATGCACGCTACCTTGCGCTCCCTGAAGGAAGACCAGGATAAAATTTAAAGAATAAATATAATTTGGAGGTTTTACGTTAGCCATCTTTCATATTATTTTCATAAAAGAAAGGTATGCTGGATTTTAAGCAAAATAAATAAAACAGGAGGCCTTCAGGTTTAGCAAACCCCACTGGGGCTGTGGTTTTAACACGCGATTTTCTCTATGAGGAAGAGCTTCCAATGTGGATGGTGATTGCTTTTGATGCCCATAGTACAATATCTGGAGTACACATCCTACCCTCATACACACACTGAATTGGAACTCTGATTAGAGTCACCAGCTTCCAGGTGGGGTCGGGAGATTTCCCAGAATTACCACTTATCTCCAGACTGCAAAGATCAGTTCCCCTGGGGGAAATGGCTGCTCTGGACGGTGGACTCCATGGCATTATACCTATCTGAGGTCTCTCCCCTCTTCAAACCCTGCCCTCTATCCCCCAAATCTCTAGGAATTTCCCAGCCTGGGGTTGGCAACTCTAGTTCTGATTCTGGGCTGAAACAACCATCACATAGGAAACGGCTCGTTTGCCCACTCCCTTACATTTTAAGTCAGAACCAAACAATTTAACTGGTGAAGGCACCTGCTAGAGGGGGTCGCATTCCATCAGATCACTTACCTTGTGCCTCTTGTAGTATTGTTCAGCTCCTACTCCACCTTGCTCCTCTCCAGTCCACAGCACTAAGCGCAGAGTTCTCTTAGGACGGAGCCCTAGGAAAGTTATTAAAAAAAATTGATTAAAAAATCACCCACTGCTCTAAAGGAGGAGGAGGAGGTGTTGGTTTATACGCCCTGCTTTTCTCTGCCCGAAGGAGTCTCCAAGTGGCTTGCAATTGGCTTCCCTTCCTCTCCCCACAACAGTCACCTTGAGAGGTAGGTGGGGCTGAGAGAGTTCTGAGAGAACTATGACTAGCCCAAGGTCACCCAGCAGGCTTCATGTGGAGAAGGAGGGGGGGGAATCAAACCTGTTTCTTTAGATCAGAGTCTACTGCTCTTAACCACTATACCATACAGGTTCTCAAATTAGGGGTGTACAACTCAAATAACTTTAAGGACCACATTTTTAAATTGTGTGTGTGTGTGTGTGTTAAGTGTTGTCAAGTTGCTTCTGACTTATGGGGACTCTTTGAAATAATGACCTCCAAAATGTCCTATTAATAGCCTTGTTCAGGTTTTGCAAACTGAGGGCTGTTGCTTCCCTGATTGAGTCAATCCATCTCATTTTGGTACTTCCTCTTTTCCTGCTGCCTTTAACTTTTCATAGCATTATTGTCTTTTCCAGTGACTCGTCTTCCCACAATGTCATCAAAGTATGATAGCCTCAGTTTAGTCATTTTAGCTTCTAGGGAGAGTTCAGGCATGGATTTGATCTAGAACCCACTTGTCTTTTTGGCAGTTCACAGTATTCATGAAACTCTCCTCCAACATCACATTTCAATTGAATCATGAATCAGTTTTCTTCCTGTCTGTTTTCGCACCCATATATATGTATATATGCTCTAGCATTTGGCCAGAATGGTACCATAGAGTTTTTTGGCTGAGTGCTAGAGCATCCCCCCGGTGACGTGCGCAGCATAATGACGTCACCTCTGAATGACGTCATCACGCTGGGCATGTTGGAGCGATCCCAGAACTTTGGGGATGGGGTTCCCCCACCAGCCGGAACCGGGCTGGTGGATAGGGGGTCCTAAAAGCTGGGAAACCCCTGCCCCCCCCAGGGGAATGGTAAGCCTACACCATTGCCCTTCACAGAAACTGGAACAACACCTGAATGCCTAGGAGCCATAGTGTGCACCCCACCCAGTGGGATTGGGACACTTCTGTCATCTCTGCTATGATTAGAGTTGCCAGGATTTCAAGCTTTAAATTGAAGGCTCAGGTTTTGGGGATCATTTGCAGAGTTTCATGGTAGCAGTTTGAAAACTCAAGATCTGTGTACCCATTCTCAGGGCACAGATTGAAATCTGAGGACTGTACACTAGCTCACACAATTCATAATGCCTTCTATTACTTTCTAGAGTTTCCAGCCCTCCACTAGCAACTCCTGGGAGATTTCCAGGATACTCTTGGGCAAAATGGAAGTTATACCATAGCCCCATTAGCTCTCTAGAAAATCCACAAATATGCATAGTAAAGACCATAAAGGTTGCTGGAATTAGAGTCCAGTGGCACCTTTAAGGCCAACAAAGTTTGTGTGTGTGTATAAAGTGCCGTTAGGTTGCAGCCAACATATGTTGACCCCCCCGCGCAAGGTATTTTCAAGGCAAGTGAGAAACAGAGGTGGTTTGCCATTGCCTTCCTCTGTCGACTCTTCCTTGGTGGTCTCCCTTCCAAGTAATGACCCTGCTTAGTAGCCAAGATCAGATGAGATCAGGCTACACCATGCTCTCTTCCCTCCTAGGAAATAGTGGGGGGAGGAGATAATGAGATGCCCATTGTAAGTCGTTGTGGGTGACCCACTTTTAGAAATCTAATTCCCTGATCTTGCTTTTTTGTGTGCACACTGACACATGAAGCTGCCTTATGGTGTTGGAATATCAAGGTCATTATTGTCTACTTTGACCTGCAGAGGTTTTCCGGCTGAGGTTTTTCACCTCACCTACTATATGATCCTTTTAACTGGAAATACCAGGTCATCTGGATAAATGGATACCCAATATATGAAAATTGCACGATGTACAAATTTGCTGTTTATGACTCCGGTTGCAAAAACAGTAAAGACAATAAACAAGTAAACAATGCAGAAATAACACAATGTATAAATAAATATATAGATAATACAATATGTATAGATAAATCAATAAAATATAATGTGCAGAAAACTAAATGGAAAGGCACAGAATTGCTAAAAAGCATTGTATAAGCACAAGTAAACAGAATGAGTGCAAAGGGGGGAAAGGGCTGGCATTTTCAAAAGCAAACCCTCCGAACATCCAAGGGATTTGCTAGTGTACTTCTTAGTTACCATTACAGCACAGGATTAGAGGCTCCTTCCCATTTCAAAACAGCCAGATGGCCAATGATGTCATATTAAGATAATAAAACAGTAATCACGTTGAAGCCATCGTATGTGGCTGCTGGTCAGGGTCAGATAAGGTGTGCTTAAAAACAAAAATCAAGTCTGCTCAGTTGCCTAAAAAACATATGCTTTGAGGAATACTGGATGCATTCCTGATGATCCAGCTGCAAAAACCAACCACAGCCTCCTTTACACATCTTACACATTCCCATATCTCACCCCCGCCCCCATGTAGGGTAAAAGAAGATCAGGGATATATTTTTTTCAATGGGAAAGTAGCAGGGGAAAAGGATTAAAGAGCTCCTTCTCTTTCCCCATCAACGCTATTCTTGAAAAAGCAGCCCTGGTGGCTACATTTGAAAATGGAAAAGAAGACAGAAAGTGATCATAGAGCAAAAAGAGATCCAAAAGAGGATTTTTCAGCAGCTTAGGCATGTAGCACAGAACACAGCCTATCTTGTTCTGTGCAGCAAAGACTGGCTTAGTCAATACGGATGTGCTGCAATCATACCCAGGCACACCCTTGTTCACAAGTTATGGTGAACACATGTACAATCTGTGTATAGTGTACACTTGATTGCTAAGTAATTCTCATGTTACATTCAACCCATGTACAGGTTGAATGTGTGACTGAAACCCTAAATTTAGCCATTCACTGGTCCCGAGTTTAATTTCTAAAGTGAATGCTCTCTTACAAACAGATGTACACACACTTACAAGCAGGTTATACATGCAATCAATATGACATGTGAACAGGGCTACTCGCACAGAATCATCTTGGGAATTGTTGGCAGTCTGGGAAGAGGGTCTCAAAACTCACCACTATGGGTCGCTTATACATAAACGAGTAAAAATACCCTTGGGAATGAGATGAGAGTTGGAAAGTAAGCAGGGAACAAATTAGAATTTGCAACATTTTGCTAGGCCAAGAGCAAAAAGTGGGATTTTCTAGAATTAGTGACTTTTGTGTTATCCTTGCTTGCAAAAAGTGGGATTTTCCAGAATTAGTGACTTTTGTATTATACTTGCTTGCAAGGATACCAATCTAGGGAGGGAGAGGACATGGCCCAGAGGCTATACGATGGCCCATGACCATCCATTCACTGGAATCTTAAAAACTGTGTCACTTTCTTTTCTTTCAAATATGTTTTTATATAAACACAAAAACAAGCAATACAAAGTGATAACTACAAAGAAATATATGACGCTGCCCTGTATACTGAGTCAGGCCATTAATTTAATACTGTCTGCTCTGACTGGGGCAGTTCTTTGGAGTCTCAGTGAAGGATCTTTCACATAACCTACTATCTGATTCCTTTAACTGGAGATGCCAGGGGACTGACCCTGGGACCTTCTGCATGCCAAGCAGATGCTCTGTCTCTGGGCCATAGCTTCTCCCCTAAATAAAAGTCAGCCCTATTTCCCAAGTTACAGTGAACGCATGTACAATCTGTGTACAGTGTACATTTGATTGTTCTTTATTCTTGCACTGAGCAATTCTCATGTTACGATCCACACATGTACAGCCCAACACATGAGCTAAACCCCACATTTATCTACACACTGGTCCCTGGTTTCATTTGTAAAGTGAATGCACATTGGCTCTTCCTTACAAACAGATGTACGGATATACATGCAGGAGGTAGGTGAGTTCCCTGTAACATGTGAACAGGCCTAATGTTAGAGCTCATCATTCTTCAGAAACATTTTTTGTTAAGGTGTGGCATTTTAGCATTGTTCATAATTTTTTTAAAAAAAGCTCAAATGGTTGAATATTGTCCTGAAATCTCATATTGCAATAGTCAGTGATTAAAATCAATTTTTCTATAAACTTATCAGCCAATTCATTTCCCCCCCTTCTTTAAAAACACACCAGTTTAGGAATAAATGCAGTTGACTGACATTTTGGCCACCAACCAGCTCTCTGCCACACACAATTGGCCCCTCTAGTAAATGTGTTCAAGCAGACGCATGTAAACGTGTCCTGGGAGTTTGTTAATGGGTGTCCTGCAGGGACCTCCTTTTGGGAAAATCGACTAGAGGAGAAGAACGCAGACATACCACATGGATCCATGCAAAAGAGGAAAGTGCAAATTCAAAAAACAAAAGTTTTTTTTTTAAAAAAAGATCAAAGTATTACTTCTTGATAATCTTAAGATTATTGCTATATATTGAAGTGCTTTGACTATTTTGACTGTTTACTTGTTGTTCATTTTTACTCTGTCTTTGAATGTTGGTTATTACTAATTTTATTGTTTGTTCATGTATATTTTGATATTTCAATAAAATGTTCATTAAAAAAAGATTTGAAGCTTTTGACTTGTGCGCTATAATGAGCATGCACTGAACAGCTAAATCTTTTCAGACTCCATGTCATTCTCTCTTTAATCAGCTGGGATATTAAATAGAGGTGTAGGCTACATGTGACATGTAAGTAACTGTTGCACTGATACTGCATTTGAGAGGTTTAGCAAAATGAATTACTTTAGCCTTCTTGAAAATATTGCTTTCTTTCATTTCTGCCTTATAGTCTAGGTCTGATCTCTTTTAAATCCATTTATGCAGCTGAAATATAATACAAGCAGGATGTGAATGACATGTTTCATTATGGCTGTTCATTCGTTTTTGGCAGCATCTCCCAGCTTTTCCATTCCGGGCGGGGGAAGGAGGTGATCTGATTTCACAAGGCATG